TCACGAGCGCAGGACATTCAGTACAATCAGATTAAGAGGATATCTATAATATAATAAAAAACATGAATGTAATGTTTGTTTTTTTACTACACATAGTTGAAACATGAGAGAAAATATCCCAGCGAACCTTGGCCGGTGACACAGCTTCATCTTTAGTCGCTATTTCTTCTCATTCAGTGAGACGGAGCATATCCCACGTCCAAACACAAGTAACCATTTTCACACACGATAACCATTTTCTTTCAACCTACCGAGTACATAGTGAGGCGCGGTTGTGATCTTAGACATGATATAGTCTATCGCTAACAAGCTCCGCCGACGTACCAAGAATCACATGTTGACAAAAATCTGGTTTTTCTCACAATTGTGCGTGCATGAGTAATGATCAGAAGCAACATGTATAATGTAACTGGTAATTTAGTGTTAACAACTGGGTTGAAAACGTAAATTAGCCACCGTAAAGGGTAAAAAAGCTGACGTTTCGAGCGTTAGCCCTTCGTCAGAGCGATTGACACTCGAAACGTCAACTCAGCTTTTTTACCCTTTACGGTGGCTAATTTACGTTTTCAACCCAGTTGTTAACACTAAATTACCTGCTATACTCTCCCACCGACGCAGCACCACAGTTTCTTTAGAAACTTACCCCTTTATGTATAATGTAACTAACAATTATAGACAAAGATATAGGAGGTAGCTTGGTCAATGTCCAATATCCAATGTCCTATTCAAATTCTGAACAAGAAAGTGTTCAAAATGTCGGTGGAAACAGTTTTAAAAGTTCCCCTAATAGTTGTATGGCATGGTGCCTGCATAATTAAAGCGCTGATCATTCCGGATAGGACGTCTCAAGCTCTGTACGTTCATGTTACCTTGCAGGGTCCACACAAAAGTCACTCCAACAGTATTTGCCGCAACAACTGAGAACCCCAAATCTGTTAGCTTGTCTAGTACTACAAATGGTGGATGATTGGTGGACCACGTAGGAGTCCACTCACTTGACTTAGCTTCAAATGATAGCGGATGCAGCGCGACCTCCATCTTTTTCGCGACATCAGTCTCTTTATCGAAGCTGGAATCAATGTAGTGCTGTTTGAGGATTGTTCCATGTTTATGGAGTTGCGAACTAAGATACAAGGCATAACGATTGAAACACAGTTGAAACGTCGTGGAACAAGAGGGCAATGATATAAGACTTCAAAGCGTCCGTGACCAATTTTTCTTGTACGTTTTTAACTGCTTCTGCCTTTTTTCTATCAAGCATACAGGTTATGTGGATCAATATCAATTTCTGGGAAACCGAATTCGATACAGGTCACCCGAGCTCCGAATCCTTCCCGAGCTCGAATCACAACCCAACACAGAATATTGAGCTCGATCGATTTCTTGGTAATCAAGCTCGGCTAGAATCCTGGGCTCAAACCACAACTGGCTCTTACCACATTTTGACGTCATCCGTAATCTATTACTGAACAGAAGCACGGCAACTTGGAATCTATTCGTTAAATATACACAAAGACCCATGATTAATTGACTAGGTCTTCTCCACGTCTGTATCCAGTTATCTAGATTAGTGAGGGCGATAAACCTAACATTTGGAATTTGAATAATGTAGAATCTTTAAGTCTGTTTGCTTATTCGTGGAGGCGGCCTCAATGTTACTTGTTGTTAACTATACTCAATTAAATTAAAAAACACAAAACAAAGAAAAAAAAAGACGTTAAACACCACCGAATATCGCACACTTTTAAAAACGGCTGAGACTTTGGTTGATGCAAAAACCTGATAATTGAAACAAGTCGATCACTAATATACATTTCTCTGTAATCTATAACATCTATGACATCTATAATAGCGGAGCTCGCAGAACGTAGCCCCATAATTATACAAAATAGTAGTAACCCATCAAGCCGAAAAAAACAAGGTGCTATTTCTAACATGCGTGATTAAATGTACCGCGGGCACGCTTACGCCACGGCTTTGCCCAGTAGTCCAGTGGTCAGTGCATTGGGCTCCGAGTCGGACGACCCGGGTTCTAGTCCTGGCCGGGGCAAGGCGTTGTGCCCTTGAGACATGCGGGAAAAAAAGATGCAGGCTCCGCTTTTAGGCTTGGCTAAATCTATATATTATCAGTTTATTAACAACATATTATCTGGCTCAAACTTCTAAAAATTTATCCATGGCATTCTGAGGGTTCTCTACTCTGCACTGACGCCACATCTTCTCGTCCACGTAGGACTACATGTCCTCCCTCCCTCTTCCTTGGCGCATTCTCTGGCCTAATTACTGGGATACCTGTGGTAGCCCAGTCATAAAATGCTTTTGTTTCAATTTGTTCCAGCAGGACTCTGCTTCCTGGGTATGTACTCCAGTGACTGGATCTACGAGGGGGAGCCGGTGAACAACAGCTTGGTGGATGCTTACGGTATGGATATGGCGATCGATCTGCCGATACGCAGCCCAGTCATTGGTGTGCACCTCTGTTCCTCTCCGAACACATCTCGTGATGATGGGGTGGAGAGTATTCCGATGTCGCTTCAGTTTATGAAGTTACTTCTTCAATCGGCTCTGTTTTAAATAGTATATTGGATCAATATTTGTTCCTGGGAAAGTGAGCTCGACATTGATTTATCGTACTCGATTTCTATTGCAGATTAAAACGTCAATACTCGGAGTATATCCAGACATAAGATCACTTGAATTAGTTATGTCCAATATAGAAAAAGAAACCTTTTAAAACTAACCAGTCGAAAATTTTCTTTACCACAAAAATCTTAAGAACGAAAGAGACCCATTTGCTCTGACGAAGGGCTGACGCTCGAAACGTCAGTTTTGAAACTCTTTACGGTAGCCAATTTACGTTACCAACTCAGTTGATAAAACCAAATTATCTTGTCATAGCTTTGGATCGAAGTCAAAAGCTATGTGTCTCTTTGCAGGGTGAAAAATTTGACTTCCTCTTTATGTTTCGCTATTGTGAACGGAGATGCAAAACTCTGATTACAGAGCCAATATCACAACACGAAAATGGAATATCATAGAACCTTATCATAGAACCTCATCATAGAAACTCATTTGGCTATTACAAATTTGAACCCAACGAAATTTCAACCATAGGAAGTAAGTTAAACCTTAATCTAGAGTTGTGCTTCAGGGCAGTTACTTTCTTTCCTGGTCTTCATTTAGCAAGTTTCGTGCTTTTACTAAATCGTAAGAGATTGCTTGGTTCATGAACGATATTTTCTCCTTGAGCAAATTCAATTAGCTAATGTGTTTAGAAATTATATCAATACAGAACAGTTGAATCCAATATTTTTAATTTGACTTTAAACATCCCCGCAGACTAAAACATCATTTATTTTCTACCCCATGCGAACTTTGTGTAATATTATATTGCCGTATTCATACACGAACACTTAAAAATCTCAGTATTGCAGTCACAGATCTCAGAAACCCTTCCCGGCATCAAAATGCAGCGTCAGCGCTCAGGTTCCGATGAAAGAATTCACATAGTTACTCTAGATGTGCGAAATTACAGCCCTGACGAGGTCAGTCTACGAGTTGAGGGGGACATCTTAGTCGTGAAGGCTAAACATTACTCCGACGGGAACTTTGGTTTTGAGCGCAGTGAGTTCCAGCGAACTTATCCCGTCCCGCAAGATGCAGATCCCGCTAGCATTACATCAAAAATATCCAAGGATGGTTATCTGACTATTGAAGCCACTAGAAAAATTGTCAAGACAGAAGACGATTTTCCACTCGGAGGGTTCGAAACGCGCGCGGGAGAGGTAGCCCGAATCGATGAGAAGAAATTCAGTGTTTTGTTAGATGTGACAAACTTCGCGCCCGAGGAGATCAAAGTGAAGGTTGTTGGCAATGAATTGACCGTTAGCGCATCACACGAATCCGAAACAGAGGGGCATTACACTTCCCAGAAGTTTAATCGTCAATTCGTTTTGCCCAAAGACGTCGACATGAATTCTGTCGTGTCGCGTCTCACTGATGAAGGAAAACTTCTGGTCGAAGCCGAAAGGCAAGCATTACCTCCCCCTAAGGAGAGATTTATCAGCATTGAGAAGGGAAAAAAGGACTGAGGTGAACAGAAACAGTGCTGTATGAGCTGACATTGTGTGCCACGAACTTATTACTTTTTCGTCAATTGATAAATTGTGAGCAGAAAGGTTTAAGTAACAAGATAATTTTTCGGTCTCCTAAACGATGTGTGGAGCTAGCATAAGTGTATTTTGTAATTTAGAGGATTAGATCACTATTTCAGAGAAAAATAGATGAAAATTTCTTCAGCCTCTGTTCACTATCTGTGAGAAAACGGGGGTGGGCGGGAAGAATGAAGGAAACGCGTGATACAGAACAAGGAAAAGCCAACACAGCTACCAGAGGTCTACGCAAGTGCGAAAGTCGTAATGACTTGGATCATGACTAAGAGATGTGCTTTCAGGCTCTAAGAACCAAGTTGTCTCACGGGCGTTGTACACAAGCTAGTAAGTCACGATGATTTAAAAGCGTATCATCTTTATGATAAAGCCCAAAACAAAACGGTGAATCAACAGGTTACCTGTAGGTAAATGAGCTTTGTGTTCGAAACGTCGCGACTTTTCCTTTTCCATTATCGTTTCCTTTAACGGATTTACATGCGATCAGTGTGCATCAATTCGTTCTGTGATTGGCCAAGAAAATTCGCGCCACTCGCTCCACCAATCAAACGCAAATTAAAACCAATCGCGACTTACTCACTCGCATTTTCCCGCGCTTCGGGTCGCCGCTTGTTCTTGCTCTGAGTTCTGATTCGTTCATTGTGTTATTTCCTTTGATCTGATTGGCTATTGCGATTTCTTTGGTTTTGACCTTATGACACTTACTTATAGAGCGCTAAAACAGATTCAGACAGCCATCGAATAGATAGTAAGCTGAGTCACTTCTAGGATTTTATTTGTTAGAAATCGATCTTTTAAAATAAAAACACTTAACAAATTTTTTAATCATCACCTGTAGCTCTTGTTTTTAACGAAAAAATCAACATGAAAATATCAACATCAATCCTCGTCATCCGATAAACCACAATATACTGCTTTCCTCTGCGATTCCTAGTCCAGCCTAGGTAGGCACAGTCACTTAACAGTTGAAAAATAAATCGTTTTAAAATACTCATTTATAAATTTTCGTTTTTCTGCACAAAAAAGGAAACAGACCAACCAATAAGCAAACACTATTCAGGGGAATGAGAACACACAAACTTATCAGGTAGAAGTTGTTATCTTGATCTAAAACCAAATTTTTGAAGGAAATGTGTACCAGCAAGAAAGAGAATTGACAATAAAGTTTGGGAGTTAAAAAGTTACCGTAATACAACACTCGGTCTGGTAAATATTAGTAATTTCATTAACATTAATTAAAACAATGCCCTATTAATGATTTCACTGAAAAAAAACATAGTCCTTAACAGTTCAAAGAAAAGGCAGCTATGGATGATGATAAAATTGCCTAACATTTACCAACTAGTTCTTTGCATTTTTGATGTATGTAACCATATATTAAATTTATAGCTAACTGATGCAGTTTGGGCCAATGTCCTTCTGAAGATCAGATCTTGTGTTACGGCCTTCTGCCTGGACTGTCTGCCCCATGAACATCAGAGATGCTGTCTTTGTACACACGTTACTTTGTGCTTCTGTTAACTGGAATAGAAAGAAATCCTCTATCAATAATCAAAATATTTTTTCATGTTAAGTTTTAAAGTACTGACCCAGCTTATCACAGCTTACGACAGGCCACAATATAGATCAATAAATAACAAAGTATGCCCTGGTAATCTTGAATTTAAAGTTTCTTAACACAAGTATCCATATTCTCATCACTGTTCTCTTGGCATTTGCAATGGTAATGACAAGGAGAATTTGTCTAACAATCAAGAGCTTCTTTAGTTGGTGACATTCCCCATATTCTATCAACTTAAATGTTTGATTTGGGGATGATATTGTAGGAAGAAATAGGATATTAGTCTTAGGGGTCAAAGACACCACTTTCATTAATTCTTACCTGGTACTAAGCAAAATAAACTCTGCCATGGAACAACAGTTATCACGTGTCCATCATGTCATCTCTTGGTTCATCCTCATGAGCTCGTTTCACCCCACCAGCTATGTGAGAAAAAAATTATCATGTCAATGGTTTTGCTTAAAACTATTCTTTCTCCTCAATTTTTTACCAACAATTACTGGTTTAATGTTCTGATGTTTTTGAAAATTTATACAACGAGTTTCTCTCAATTTTAGAACATCTTGTCAAGTTAAAGTTAGTTTCTTGTTCCCAGACTTATTTCAACTGTCATATCAACCATAGAGTGGATGCCAAAGGGTGTGAGGGTGATGAATCATTAGGGCCAAAATTAATTCTTGATGCTTATATTTTACTGAAAGGCAAACATGATTCATGAATTTATGAGCCAGCATGAGGGGTGATTTACCTCCTGAACATATGTGACCAGTGAATTTTTTTTCTTTCTGTGAAAACCTCAATACTTCCCAGAATCCTTACAAACAAGAAGATAGATTAAAGGTAATTTCCCTTTTAACACTTTACATCCCATGATTGACCAGGACAGAATTTCTACTTACAATATCAACTAGATAATTGGAGCATAATTCTCCAAACTAACATCACAAAAACTGTTTGGCAGACAGTAAGGGGAATGACTAATGAGATCTTCGACCAGGCTCTCATGTTTGGCTTTCACCCTATGGCCCTTTTTTGGGAAAAGTCAAATATTAAAAGAATTGTATGGTTGACTGTAAGGAGAATTAAAAATTTGATCTGGGAGTTAAAGGGTTAAATTTGTGACACATAACGTACTGTTCAAAGTACATGTGACACATCAATTTTCTAAAATTTGTGTGTGAAACTGGATCAAGACAACCTGTTTGCTTTGCATACCTTCTCGAGAAAATTGTGGAAAGGGATAGAGTACATGTAAAGATCACAATTGGTTTAACAGACAAGCAATAACACATTAAATTAGTGAATATTTGTAAACATAATATTCCTTACACTGATTTAATCTTTCTCCTGATTTTCTTGCTTGATAATTGGCTAAATAAATTGGTTCATATTCCTGCAAGCCATAAATTTCAACACATAGTAAGTATTCAAAGTGTTTCTACAGATTGAGTCCCTGATAAACAGCATGCAGAGTAGGAATATAAGGCAGTATCAACACTGACTGCCCTTGTGTCTCATAAAAATGACTTGTGTGATGTGTGCACAGCCCACAAACTCATCACTTACCATTAGTTGTTGAACAAAACCTTCATTGGGATTAATACAGAATCTTCTTTGCTGCACATAATGAAATGCATCTCTATAAGAGACAATGAAATATTATAAACAAAATGACTTACATGTAAGGAGAATTATGCAATTGTGTACAGTGCAAGTGTACCTAGCAGATCAACAACTCCTCTCAGGAATAAACTCCATAGAGCACATAACTCAAATAGGCAATTTCTCTAAAACTTACCAGGGGTGGAAAGGGCACAATAGGTTCTCTTACCTTTCCCTACCCCTCCCTCCCCTTTCGTATTCTTTTAACACTCCATATCCATATATAGACCTCACTACGAAACATGATAAGTCCATATTTCACCCACATGAAATGAATACACTGTCTTATAAACCCTTCAATCACATGTCTAGGCATCCCACTATATAATCATGTGAACTGCAAAAATAAAAATGTCAATTTTTTGTCTGAAGGTTTGCTGTCATCTCTCCAGATACAGCTACAAATTACAGAGGTGTTGGCCAAGGCTCAGAGTAAGGAGTAAAAACAAAGCACTGCTCATTGAAAAGACTTTCTATTCTTTACTATTAAACAAGTGCTTATTCATAGAGAGGTTTAACTTACCTATAGTTTAATCCATATGTTTCCATAATGAAAGCAATCATTAATGCAGCACTGAAAAGAAATTTAGTTGTTAATAATCAAGTTTATTATCACTTTACCATAGTTTAGTGTTAACTCTTAGCTAGTAGGTCTAGAAAAAAAAGTAGTTTTAAACTGTTAATTTGTCAATTTGTGATAAAAACAGGAGCTAACCTTCTAGATATCCCAGCATTTCCATGGAGAAGAACTTTTCCTAACAAATAGTAGAATAAGTAGTCATCAGAATAAAAATTAATTAGAAATAAATTTTTACTAATGAACTTGGCTTGTCAAGTTATTGGCCTAAAACTCTAACTCCCATGATCTGATTTAACAGCAATTCTCCCTTCTTGCAGTTATAAATTGCCTCATTGCACATCAGTTAGTAGACCTTGGTGTCATGTCAAAATGACACTTCCTACTGGCTGATGACTTTTCCTATTCTCCTGACTTGTTTTCAAGATAATGCATTGCTACTGAAGGGAGACATTGCAAGTAAATCAAATTTGGAAGTAAAAAGTTACTTGGTGAACAGTTCACACAGATGAAGTGTCAGATAAATGAACAAAACAAACAATGAAGTAGTCTGTGTTAAATTTCTAACTGACCTCCACTACTTAAACAGCTGTCAACAAAAGTTTTCACCTGGTTAAAAGACAAAAACAGTCATATTAATTTATTATCATCATTGTATCAATGAACATTCATTTTATTAAAATTAATGGTTAAATTTCAGGCATGCGCTATTTCTGTTTACTGTTCTGCTCACACTCTGTTTGAATTCATATATCACAATAATTATTGCAATATTTGTCTCGTAAAACGTTTAATTTAAACGTGTAATCTAGTTGTTCAGTTCAGTTGCAACTAAGATGACCAGTTATTGTAATATTGCTAATCAGTCATTTACCACAAGTACAGAGGCAGTCAAGAAGTAAATTTTCAGTTGATTGCCAGGTCATTACAGTTAATTTTCTGTTTGTTTTGAACACAGGTAAGGCCAAATGCCAATGTGGTTTCTTTTTATTTTACATCAAATTGTGTTATTAAATTAAATATGGTTCTTTCTCCATATTGGCTCTTTGGTCTTCTTTTCAATGGAACAATCATAACAAGAGATTTTTCTAATTCATCATGTACCTCAAGGATTCCTTAACCCATTACACTCTAACATCAGTATGTACATTCTCCTTACGTTTCTTCATACATTTGCTAAGGTGCTGACAAGGAGAATTTGTTTAATAATCAAGAGCTTCTTTAGTTGGTGATCATTTCCTTAATACTCTCCTAGCCTTAGTGTTTGATTCAGGAGTGAATTATGGCAAGGTGAAATTAGTTCCTAGTCACTCTAAGGGGTTACAGGGTTGATGAAGCATAACAAATCAATACATAGCAGCTAAATACCTTAGGAAAATGTGTGATAATATTTTCTGTGGGTGAGTCTGCTACATCTAATACCAAATATCTGCAACATAATAATGATCGCAAGAAATGGCTATTGATACAGAATCATATTATTGTTTCAAAAAGGCTTGACCTTGAAGAATTTCTCCGTAAACCACCTAAATTGACATTACACTCATTGGCAATTTTATCCACAACTACATTTGATAATAATTTCCGTTGAGAAAGGATAGATTCTTTTTTATATACAGTCATGTTGGAATATAAAAGTTTATTAAGTTAACTTCACTCACTTAAAGTGTTGAGGAAAGTTAGGGCGAACAAAGTTTGCTTCAATATTCTGTCGTATACAAACAACATGAGAGATTCCAACTTGCTTTAAAACTTCTAACTGTAAATTTCAAGTGAAAAACATCAATTTCAATAAATACAACTTGACTCAATAATGACAAAGTCTTAATATTAGATTGCAATAATTATAATAGTTTGTAACTAATATTGTCACACAGGGTGGCTGAATTCCTATGAACATCTTAGTATTTGCCATGTCACATAGTTATTGGCAATGACTAAGTCAAAAGTCTGAAGAGCAGAATGTTATATTAAGCACAGCCCATATAAACTGTCTAACATGCCAAAACACTTTTTTGTCTAGCTAAAAAAAAAATCAGTTTTAGCATCTCCTCTATTGTGTTTATTTAAAAATTCTGTTGCTTGAGGAGAGTTTTATATATTCAGGATATATGATCTCACTACCATGTTTTACTAGTAATGATTATAATAATAACTGTCACAATTCTATTTTTCATTTCTAAAATGAGTGTACTTACTTTGCTATTCATTGCTGCAGAGTATGGACCAAGATAAACTCCTGGAACAATTTCCTTGAAAAGAAATAGAAATTAAATGAAATGGTTAATATTAAATAATATCATATATTTGTTCACTAGTACTTGGAGTTCATTAATTGCAGTTAAGTTTTCTGGAAAAAAAAAACCTCAAAATTATAGAGTGAGATCATGTCAGTGAATAAACTAAAAATTGTACATTTACCTGCATTTCTCGTCTCTTAGAGTAGGTCCAATCCTGTGGAAAATAAAAACCATAATCAATCAGTCTCTATCTAATATAATTATGATTTCCATTTCCTGCCCAGGTGTGAAATTTTTTATAATAAAATCAGCACAAATTTTACAGCATGTTTCCATGCCAACATGGAAAACATCTCCCTACTATCAGTGCAAATCATAGATGGCTGTTTGTGATATGTAAAAACACAGTAGTAATTGAACTCAGTGGAGTGAGAGTAGTTCTGAAATAATATGTCTGATTTCAAAATCAACTGAGTGTTCAACTTGTCAGATTTTATATTCTTAGTATCATTAATGAGGATGTCAGAATCTGTCAAAGTTCTAACAATAATGAACACTCAGCACTACCATCTGCTTTGAATGGCAAGCAGTAATGCTATCAAATGCAACAGTGAGCAAGTTCTGTGTTTGCTTTATTCTTCTGGTCCTAGTTGATTGAGGGTCAGATAACACTATCCACTGAATAAATCTCTATCCAGTGGATAACACTGTATGTTTTGTTATCATTTATCCACTGGATAGCGATTTATCCATTGAATAGCGTTATCCACCCTTTATACAACTGGGCCTTGGACTGGGTTCCTCCCTAGTTTAAGAGTGACAAAGAGTATCATGAAAGCCACATTAGGTCTGGGAAACTTTCTTAAACGGCATTCAACACGAAACCTGGGTATCTTATGCATACTGATAATTAATAAATCTGCTATCCTTGTATTTATACCAGAAATAAACACTACAAAATTTGTTTTGTTATAGAAATTGTTAAAACTGGTAGTTGGCAACAATTAGAACACAGCTGAAGGTTTGGATGAATGTGAGGTAATCATTTGTACCCCAGTACTTGGCATAAAATTCTGACAACCACTGCGTTTCTGATTGATTTCTTTGGAATGAGCCCTAACTTTGAATATGGCCCTTTTGTAAACAAATGCTTCTTTCATTAGAAACTGTTTGATTAAGATTTATTGGCAGGCTCCTAAATTCAGATGAAAATCGAAAACATATTCGAGACTGCTTCAAAGATAAGCTACCAGAAAACAATAGTTATAGTCAGTATTGAATGGTGAATTCAATTTGTGAGTGAGAAAAAAAAAACAATAAGTTAGTTATAAGTAAAAAGAATTTGAACGACTATTTTTAATTTCCAACTATCAAAATTTTGTAGTTGAAATTACAGAATTAAAAACAAGTTACAACTTACCAATAATTCGTCTTTGTTTGGTATCTCGGGAAATTCTAACGATGGTATACATTCTGGATTCGTCGAAGATTGCATCTAGGTGAAGTAGGGTCTACAATTTACGGGAAACTACACTGACAGATAGCGACTATTGCTCGTTTGAATCAGAGAGACTCCTACACCAAAACACAACATTGAATGAATTGTCTACTACGTCCAGTCTCCCACGGTCAACCTCGCTTGGAAAATTTTCGAAAACAAGATGGCAGAGGTGGAACGATCTTGGACGGATCAGCAATTGCAAAGTGATGAAGTCTCTAAGAAAGATATCATCAAGTTTTTGCATGAACATGCTTCGTTTGAGGTATTAGAAACTAATTTTTGTTGTCTGCGTTTTTTACCCAGTTTCGAATCAGGTTTGTCGACGTGGCTCTGTTTTCTTTTTTTTACGATCGGAAACAATAACCCATTGGAGCACTTCGCAAAGAGAAGGGGTTTTCGATCTCTGCCTTGTGAGAGTCTTGATCGATGTACACTGCATTTGGTATGGAACTGGAAATGTTAGCGCTTTTCTACAGGAAAGTTAGCTTCTCTGAAATTTTAATGGACAATAGAAAAGTGATACCTTTTGGTCTGAAACCGTATCTCACACCTTTCATTCACGTGCACAAAACCGCGTGTGTAATTGCGTGCAGAAATGAGTATTAATGATGTGCTCCAAAGTATTTAGATATCAATTAACTCTCCACAGAAAATATAAGAGCTCCAAATTTGGTAAAATAGAATTTGACTGTAAAAAACAAGTCTCTTCATTTGAATGGTCTTTCGTTGGGTAGAATTCTGCCTCAAACCCCACCCATTACACACCCCCTAGTCCTCTTTTATGTGGCTAGTAGGGGACGCTATGGAAATACACATTTATTTTTATTTTTGAATTGTCTTCTTTGATTTTTAGTTTCTCAAAGAGCACAAACTGAATGGGAAATTGAACAATATTGCAAAAACCAGCAAAAAGGATCACCTCATTGAAAGTTATAAACAACTTTTTGAAACAAAGGTGAGTTTTTAACATCCTTGCAAGTGACAATATTGAATGAAATTATGGTATTATGATGGTTCCCTCATGATGTAATGACTTCCATTATGAGTCATTGTATTTTGACCACATACTTCTACAATATTGTTCTGTAAGCACTGAGGTTGACTGCGTTTGCTTCAAGTTATTATGCATCATACTCTATTGTGATTGGCAGCCTGCGATCCTCATAGTTTTACCAAATTATTCCCTCAGTGTTCTTCAGCCTGAGGGTTCTCTTATTGAGTTTTTGATTTGTTACATTTCATACTTGTAGAAATTTTTTTTACAGTGTTTTGAATGAGGTCCTTAGTAGGTAGATTGCCATTTTAAATCAACTCTCTTATATTCTGTATTCAGCTTAAACAGTTGTGGGAATGTATGCCCTTATAAAACTGAGACCTTTAATCCTTCAACTCTCAAGATCTAATTGTTACTTCTCTCCTCTATCTGCTACACATTTCCTTATAAATTAGTTAGGAGAATTAAGCAATAGATTAAGATAACTTTTGCTTGATAATTTATGGATTTTATAAGGAGAAGTTAAAAGTTAATCACTTCAGGAAGTTATCAAGTTATTTAGATATGTCAGAAGAGCCACAATGCAGGAAAAGACTCATAATGCTTTCTTCATATTTTAGTCTTACCGCAAGGAAACTGATGCCAGCTTGGAAGACCAGTTAAAAGAGGCAGCTGAGAAAACAGCAGCCATGCATATCAGTGAGAAGAAGAAGGAGAGAAAGAGTTCAGAATCAAAGGATTCAAAGAAAGAGGTTAAAATTTTAACTTTTCATTGTGATCTATAACTGACTTTCAATCTATAATTTTTACCAGTTTCTAGTGTGGTGGGGAAGTAACATTAGTCCTCAGTCACCAAAACTGCAGAATTAACGCCGACAATGTCCAATGGCTTGAATCGAAATTTCTCCCAGAAGTTTTCAAGGCACCACAACCAACTGAGCTGTCAGCTATGTGTCAGGAGCAAGGCAAATTTTAATCCCAAGCCTTAAAGTATACAGATTTTTTTTCATGCTTTGATACATAAGCACTACATTTCCTTTCTAGGACAAAAGAGCTCTTTAAACTCTTTAACTCCCAGATCAAATTTGTAATTCTCTTTACTGTCAATCATACAATTCTTATAATCTTAGTTGAGAGAATTTAGTATTGGATCAACTAATTATCCCCAAATTGATATTTTTCTTTATTCTCATCACTTATCTGGTTGATATTGTACTGATATTGTAAGGAGAAATTCTGTCTTGGTCACAAATAAATTCTCCTTGCTAATGCCATAGGAAATATATGGAGAAAAGTGTGGGGAATTTGTGTACTGGTGTTACGGTGCAAAGGTTAAAACTTAATGTGAAGATTGACTGTGGAATCAAATTAACATTTCATCTTTGTAGGAGCCAAAATTCTCCAAGAAAATCTTGAAGCATGGAGATAAGACTTCATTTGCCTCTAAAGGTGACAGAGTGTCTTGTTTCTATACTGGCAAACTGGAAAATGGTGTGGTGTTTGACAGCAATATCTCAGGAGCAGGTAGTATATACTTCTACCCTGTAGTTTATTCTACACAAATATTTTACTGTATAATTCTGTTTATGACAGTTCTTAGGTATACTTTTGAAGGAATGATTGGAAAGAACATGTCTCTTAGGAACATCCTAAATGATATGTAAAGCTCAGGTCTATGCTTAAAGCAGTCAGGGATATGTTGGCATTTCTTTTTCTTGGTCTTTTGACCCATCCCTCTTTAGAGTGTTCTTTGGATAAAGAAGGCAATGATGAATGATTGCTTTAAATTTCTGATAATTTGATGTGGTCTGAATTGTGTAATGGATGAAAGTATTGTCTGTGTTTCTGATCAAGGTTTGATTTTTTTTTTCCTTTCAATCATTGCTGGAATTTCATGGCAGGAGCTAAAAAGAAGAGCCAGGGAGAGGGGAAACCATTTATTTTCCAAGTAGGGAAGGGACTTGTGATTCGAGGGGTGAGTATAGGTATTTACAAAGCTGATTGCTTATAGAATATTTTAGGTTGAATTCCAGAAGTATTTTCCATAGACGATAAAATTATGATAAAAAATTGGTTGAATTGAACACAATAAATAGATGATGAAAAAAGTTTGAATTGCACAGAGCTGTATGAGGTTCTTTTACGGACAAAATATCGAACATGGATACATTCATGTTTTGTTCAATTACGTTATTGTTGTACGTTATAATACAAGTCTTAAAATAAAATAAATCAATTTCATTCGGAATACATCAATTTTGGATGTCATACATCGATGTTGTGCAGCATACATCGCTTTCCTGACTCATTCACGCGTGACCTTATATGACTAAAAGATGTTCAATAAAACTAAAAGATGAGGAAGCGGAAATAGAAATGACCGGAAGTCAGATTAAACAAGAAGCCCCGGAAACTAACACTTTCAAAATGGCGGAAATAGAGGCAGATGATCAGTGAAGTTTGAGAAGCACTATGCAAGGTGCACGGATTTGGCTGCCCAACATCAAAGGATTTTTTACATCTTTGGGTAGGCTGCTGAAAAGTGCAGAAGGGCAAAGGAACACTGCGTCCTACGACTCGGCAGAATTTTTTAGTCTCCGTTTACGAGAAAACGAAAGAACTCTTGTCACTTTGACTCTAAGAATAGAAGAAGCCTTCCCAAATGAAGTGGAGGTGATCTCTGGGCAAAGTTTCCGCACAGCCCCATACTTCATTATGCATACAGTCCTTTGTTAGAAGAAAACAATAGTGCAAACAATAGATTACCTTTGGGACAATTCGCTTTGTTTTCAAGAAGTTGAATTTTTTTTAAGTCTTTATTCAAACCTTCAAAAAATCATACCATATTTTAACCTAACTTATATGTGATATTGTAGTGGAGCAAATGTCTTCATGGTGTCCAACAGGCACATTGATGGCAACCACTGGCCTGGTTGTTTGAATGGTGGATAATGCTATCTACTGGATAAATTTGGATAGCACAGTATGTTTCCTTAGTGCTTATGCGCTGGATAGCAATTTATCTCTTGGATAGTGTTATCTGCCCTTTGAACAACTGGACACTGTTCTTTACCCTGTGGTAGACCCATTTGTTTCAGTTTGTTGTCATTGTTCTCTGTCATTTGGTTTTTGAGTAAAGCCTTTATACAGGCCTAAGTGGCCCATGGGGCGGGTGCCTAACTCTGGCTTTCTTAGCATGAAGCAGCTAGGAGTATTGCAACTCCCCCTTGGATGAGATGCTAGTCCCTCAGCATATTTGCTGGTACCCATTTGTACACCTGGGTGAAGAGAAGCACTGTAAGAGTTCAGAGTCTTGCCTAAGAACGCAACACAATATTGCTATGTGAATAGTAACAGTAATTATAGTAATAGTTTGGAGAATACTGCTGCATGTCATAGCCTTCAATTAACAAATTTGGGATTTCTCAATTGCATGTGTAGTGGGATGAAGGCCTCATGACAATGTCCAAAGGTGAGAAGGCAGAACTCATCATTGAGCCAGAGTGGGGATATGGAAAGAAAGGAAACATCGATGCCAAGTATCCTTTGTTAATACTTGAAATTAAGATAGTAATTTTGCGATACAAATTCTCAGAACAAGTTTTATGAGAAATGTATGAAAGACTGAAAGGAGAATTAATATTGAGATCCAGCTTCTGTTAATATTGTGATAAAAATTTCCTTAACTCAGACAAAGTATTCCACCACAATCAAAACTCATCTTTGAGGTCGAGCTTGTTGATATCATATGAAGTTGTAAAACTTGGGCTGGAACAGAAGGAAAAGGAACAGAGTGAAGGCAACCTTGGGCATATTAAGATGACATGTAATCTAGCTGGTAGTGGCACTAGCTTTTTTGTCCCGTCAAGTTTTAGATGTTTCCTGTCAGCCCCTCTTGAAGCTTCAGAGAGGGACTACAGAGAGACTGTAGAGGGACTGTAAACGGAGTGATGCTTGGACCTTTATACACCCCACCACCCCTCCCCCCACCCCCCTTTAAGTGAAGTCTAGTCAAAATTGAAAAAGCAATCAAGGGTGAATTTAGAGATTGAGACTCAATATTTCCACAGAATGAAATGAATTCAATTTTGAATCCACTACATTTAATGTGATTACACAAAGACATAGAAGAAAACTAATTACTACTGCTCATACCAGTTCACAGGAACCCTAGTCATGTAGCACTTACATTACTTGTCATCTTACATACAGTAAATCAAGAAAATAAACTTTGGAGAGTATTTTTCATTCATCATAAATATGCAATCACTGACAAGTGTTGCTGCCAGATAATATAATGCATTTTTTCAATCAGACATGCTTCTTTATCATGAAATAATAGAAAAAAATTAAAAGAAGACAGAATTATCCAACGTAAGTTTTCTTTGTTCCCAACATGATTCTTAATAGCTTAGTTGCACCTAGATGATTCCCGAGAAGCAAGAGTTTGAATCCTGTCGAAGTCTAGAGCTTCAATTCTTTTCAGAAATTTCTTTATTTGCGGGTCACTTGTGAGGATTTTGTCTCAGTTAGAATTACTCCTTTGTGTGGGGTGGAGTGCTATTAATGTCCTCAGATCCTGTTACGTTCACTACGGAAAAAGGGGAGTTCTTGTCTGCTGTTTCCATGTGTAGAACACTGTTTATTTTTTAAAAAATAGATTAGATTGAGGAGTAAGACCTCTTTGTCTCAATAAAGCGCACTCCTGTGAACCCTTAAATAAAAGAAAGGAAAGGAGGTTTCTGAGGAGAAACAGTATCTTGTACTCGTCACCCTCGACGTGTTGCGTTGTACGACAAAATTACTATCAACAAATTTAAATTACTACAGACCGCGTGCTTGTCGCACGTTGTAATAGAGCAATTGTATTGACTGTGGGGGTGGGCAGGGGGGCATGAAATCTTAGTCAAAAAGTGAAAGTAAATACCTGTCCTGACATTTCACCATATCTACTTGGAAAAATTTGCAAAATAATTTCTACGAAACCGAATTCAGAAACGGAAATTAGTTTGAAAATTCAAGATTTATCGACCAACAAAGATGTACCATCTGTCACTTTCCCCGTGGGGTATGTTCCTCGCCGCCTGACTTTGCCCAAACTCGTCCCTTTGAAGTTCCTTTAAACGCGGGTCTCACGGCGGGCCCCCACACACGATGTAATCTTCGTCTTTTTCGCGTAACTTTGGCTTACTACATGACAGAAACTACAGAGGAAATTATTTATGGGGTAAGATACAGTGTTTTTTCATCGATTATTCATTCAAGTACGATTACAAACGGGAAATTTCGAACTCTTTCGCCTTTTGATTTCATTTCATCCCAAATTGTAGCTTGTTTTTGGAGTAACACGCTTTTTCTTCAAAGTGAAAGAGGTTTCCCTCAGGTTTAAACTTGTATTTGAATAATTTGAATGGTTGTAATGACCTAATCGCCGAAAATCTCAGAGACTTGTTCTATTTTCTACACTTGGTCAGCCAAATATAACGTTAACACTGCATAGCCTTGCGCTGGTGCTGTCTTGTTTGCACCGATATCTGATGATGAGTAATTAAAACACACAATACAGTTTTCTCTTCATTTATAACCATTGCACTCGAAATGCTACCATAATCACGAGAATATCGTTAAATTCAATGTTTTAAAAGATTTGGGAAGGAATTCGGGTTAAAAAGTGAGTTGAATTTCGTCAAATCGCATTTCCCCAGGGGGTCATTTAATCACATCACCAAAAGATTTCTAGGAGATACAAATTAGCATTTCAACAGCTGTTCCTCTTGTATAGCTTCAAATTAAAATGAAACTAATTTTGATCAGAACCTTTTAATATTTCACCATTTTGAAAGAATATTTGGTGAAACATAAAGAACATACTGAAGTGAAGTTATTTGTAGAATTAATCATTGTTTATCTTTTTCTTTGTATCTTCCTTCTAAATTGTGGATGATTTCTGAAAAAAATTTGAGAAGTGTCAACAACTTTCAAGGAGTTATTTCAAGGATTCAGTTAAGTTAGGTTATACCACAACAAAATTCACTTTAACGATTGAAAGTAGTTTGTACACTTTTCAAAATTTAACCAAAGCCTTTATAGCCCAATCATATACCACTGACCATGAATTTTTGGCAATATCAAGGTTTCCTGATTGGCTTATATCTAGTAGAGTCCAGGATATAACATCCTTATAACCACGAAGCTTTGGTGAATACAAATCTTGTCATGCGATAGAGGTTATTTGGGAGCCGTAGAGATAGTTTATGTGCCGCAGCACCAACTGTGTTTAATTAGAAGAAGACTTCAGTATTACAGTGGTCATTGATGTTGATCAATGAATAATTAATATTGTCATATGACCATTTTGTCCCCACTCATACCATCCTTTAGAAAACCTTGATGGAAACTGACACATGTAGGGCTGGACAGGTTGACATGAGCCAGTTTGGAGAATGCCATCTGGTCCAACACTAGTAAAGCTGTGTTGCAAAAAACATCAGAATGAGTAATGAGAGAATAATTCATTTTTGTCATTTTTTTGTTACTTGAAAAATGAAGAATTAGTTTGTATTCTAGAATATTTTATATGGTTGTTCCACTTGTGCCTGTCATTTGCATCCTATTTCAGTTGAAACAAACTCTTCAAATTTTCATCACATAGTTGTCATATAATAAAGTGCTTATTGACTGAATTCAGTGAGGCCAGACATGGAAATATTTGGCTGGCGGTCATGACCTCACTGTGCTTGGTCTGTTCATTATGACCTTGAACCAAAATAATTTCCTGTTGGGCCCTCCCACAATAAGTGCTTATTTTTAATCTTTAGAGAGTCGCGGAATCATCTTTTCTCAGAGGAATTAAAATCATTTCACTCTTTTGCTTACAATGCATGGATTGTTATATTCATATTTGAAGAGAAAGGGATTTTGAAAACAGCTTTCACTTGATTGTATTGTATTCTAAAAAAAAGCATCGACGGAAATAGCATAATTTTTTTTCATCAATCAATACATGCAATTGTAATATTCTCATTAACTTCATTAAGTCATAGGTTCAAATTCCAATTGAGTTTCTTTGTCCTTATTTGCTGTTTACTCACTGCAAACCATTCTTTAAAAAATCAAATGAAATTTTGTTGTGTAGGATTTATGGCCAAGTGAGAGATCTCCTGGGCAAAATGGTAACACTTACTCGAAAAAATAGTTTGGACTTAAATAATGGTAATGTCGTGAGTGGATTTAAGAAAACATAACAATTTCATCAGATGTCATAATTGGTAAAATGAGCTCTTTCTTTCAAATTGACTGTCTGAAAGAAATATTTTCCTCTTTCTAATACTTCCTTCTTTATAGAGGAATTACTGGTTACAGCATTATACTGAAGCTTTGACCTAGTATTGAATGTCTCACAATTTTCCACATTACCCATCTATTACTTGTAAAAGGCTTTCTGGATATATTCTATATACAATGCTAAAAGGTTAAAAAATTAAAATGTTTAAACCAAACATTTTCGGCTGTTTGCCATCATCAGGGTTAAAAAGATGACCGTCCACACATACATATATATCTTATGTAATTCCCAATGGGAAAAGTTTGGAGACATAAGAAATAACTTGTTTGTTCAAACTGGGGCGGAATTGTTGGATCACTAGTCCCTCAACGATCCTACGCTTGTGGAATGTTTGTGCTGAGGAGAGAACACGCTAAGTGAAAGAATGTGATGGGTTTTCCTGCTGGTGTTTTGTAGGTTTAGAGGTGTGAGCAGGATTTGAATGCTCCGCAATTCGTACTGCTAAGTTTCTCACAGTCTTGCCAATGTAATCAACGCCACAAGAGCAATCACCTTTGTAAACAACTTTCTGGATGTTAACTTAGTTTTCATTTACTGTATCTTTGATTCAAAAGTTCTAGAAATTGTGCATCTGGGAATTTAATTTTATTTTAAAACATGTTAATGAGAGATTGCATTGTTTACTAGACATCTTATCAAAATTTATGATGATCACAACTTTCTAAGAGAAAACAGTCATTTGTGCATCATTTTTATTTTGTGAATTTAAAGGACAGTCTCTATGATTTTGATAGTATTGCTAATGACTGTTGCATAATTTTCATCCTGAAGTTATTTATTCACAAAAACACAATATTTTAAGAGTGATATTTCTCCAAAATCAAGAAAAAATAACTTTTAATTAGCATTAAACTGTTTTGTTAGAGGTACATGTACACAGTATTTGTTAATTTGATATTTATGTGCATGAAAGCTGAAAAGACATTATTACAGTGTCTGTAGATAGCATTTGAAAACATTAAAAGTTTTAATTTGTAGTCTTAAGAACAATCAGTTTGGGGTTATGAATGAATGTAAGGTAAATCTCCCATCATAAAATGTGAAAGGTTTAATTTATGTTACATTGCACAACCTTTCTTACAGGACCTTAAATTATACAATGCAGAACTGAACAAACACTTCAATTTCATTAGAATGCAACACAGTTTAAGGACTGCCCACAGATTTCTTGCACTTGATAATAACATGGCCTTATTAGATCATTTCATCTCTTCACAATGATGAAAATTCACTCAATGTAAATAAATTAAGCTACCCATAATGGTATTATAGTTATTATTATGCTCACATTTATCCACTGACCAAAGTCCTACTTGTGCAATGTGCTTAAATGGTATTTCAAGCATTTTAAAAATGAACCTGAGAAGATTATGGACTAAATGAAAACCAGGAATATCCAACCTAGTCCCATTGGATGTTTGTTAATTTCACAGAAATTTATTATCAGCTGTAATAAACCTTTTTTTCATTGAAAACATTCAACACTGACCATTTAAGAAATTCACAGATATGGTTATCAATTGTTTGTCATTAGAAAGAGGAAAACAACATGTAATATAGCTATATCTATTTATTCTTCTTGTTCTGTTTGGAAGGTGAAGTTCAATTTTCTTTGTCTTCTATAAATTGGCAAGAATGATAATTGTATATTATTTTGAGGTCTATATTTCTTGAATTTTGTTCTTTTATTCAGAAAAAAAAGTATACAGTACAATCTTGTACTTCAGGTTTGAAGAAATAAAGAATTAAGTTTTTTTGAAATTTTTTGAAATTCTGTGATTGTCAGAGAATGATTCATGGAAACTGGTATGTGTTTATTGCAAGAAATGATCTTCTTGAGTCTTTGTTTGTATTAGAATAAGAAATATGCTAAATTTTGAGCTGCTGGACTTCTATAAATCGGCAAGAATGATAATTGTATATTATTTTGAGGTCTATATTTCTTGAATTTTGTTCTGTTATTCACAAAAAAAAAGCATACAGTATAATCTTGTAATTCAGGTTTAAAGAAATTATGAATGAAGTTTTTTGAAATTTTGTTGAATTCTGTGATTGTCAGAGAATGATTCATGGAAACTGGTATGTGTCTATTGCAAGAAAATTGTAATTAGGATAAGAAATATGCTAAATTTTTAGCTGCTTGGTGAAGAAATAGAGAAAACATGTTTTTCTGTCTTGTCACAAGTACAGAACAAAGAGAAAATTCTGAATCCCCCATTACTGGGTCTTCTTTTTTTGTTCTTATTTTGTCTTATGTATTAATTTGTTTCCTTTTTTTTTTCATGATAGGATGGGAATTATGGGGAACACAAGGTAAAGCGACTCAAATCTGTAAAAGATGAAGGTATGACATCCAGTAACAATGACGACATAGACACCATTTATGGTGCGCTGGTAGTTCTTGGGTAAGTCTAGTCAGTCCAATGTGTTAGTATTAAGAAGAGTTCTTTTGAAAGTTTTCAAAGAAATTCTTTCAACATGTGATCTCTTTTTTTATGTTGTGGTGGTAATGTGTTGTTGTGTAATTCTTGGTCAGTTACAATGGTTCTCTGCTGGATGGAGAACACCAGCGACGTCACCGAAGCTCGTTTATTTTGCGAAAGAAAGGATCCCCCTCAGGAGTGCAACCCTACAAATTGCACCTGGCTTCTTCTAACACTGGAATGCAGGTGTGTGCAGATTATGGTCACAACTGTACCAATCATTGTTTTTTTTTTATCCTGAGGGGTGCCACAGGGTTGCAAGTTTTTCTAAGAAATTGTTTGACGGTTTTCCCGGTGACTCAGCTAAGTAACAGCCAGTTGTAGAAAAGTATTAAAGAAAGAAATTGATGTAATTTAAAATAGAGTAAATGGTGTACTTTATTTGTCTGTTCACTTAATATGTGTGTATGTATGTGATAAGGAGACTAGGCAAAGTGCCATGGAATTTGCAAAATATCCACTTGTATTGTATGTCAAACCATCTAATGAGGTGTATGTGCTTGTTATAGCAGTGAAAAAGTTAATATACTTTTATCAGTGTTGTAACCATTAAATAAATATGTTTCCTAGTAATGGATTAAACTGTCATGGTTTATAAGTTTCTCTTCATTCAAATTAGTCTGTGTAGTACATGATCCATATACATGCTTGATAATTAACTACATATATACGTGTACTGTCAAATATCTTAATATTACAGGTAAATGAGTGATTGAATTTTTAGCTTAAGTTGATGCTAATGAGTGGTTAAACCAAACAGATTGTAAATTCTGAAGCCCATAGTGTCTCGTACACTCTCTCCCGTGGTAATGCAGTTGTTGTTGAGTATCGGAGGGATTCAGATACTGATATGTTTCAGGTATGAATTTGTCCTCTTGCTGTCTCTATGAAATTGATTTTCATATATTTTTTTGTCTTGAGAATTGTCCACACAACACCTTCTAGTCTTTTACACCCTTGCCCAAACTGAAAGCTTGTGAAAACTGTTATGTAACTTGTTCTTGTTTACCAAACTTCAAATTTGTCTTTCTTCTGAAGTCCTTCCCCTTTTTTGTCTTTTTTTTTTTTTTTTAGAATTAGAGCATTTTAATGACAATTTTCAGAAATGGGTGTAGTTGAGAATCGTTATTGAAATAAAGATCATTTTTCTTTTGCACTTAAACTCAAGGCTGAGGAAGCTGAAAATTAATCATAGAAATATAAATTCAAGAAATTATGAAAGTTAAATGTACTGGTAACCACAAAACAAAGTGACATTTACCTTAACAGTGGAACAATGTGAGTCATTGAGGAAGAGATTTGCTGCCATTTGGAGAAATCTTGCATCATATAGTTGAATTTTTACATTCCATTTGAGGATTATCATAGCTGAATGAACAGTATCAAACTTAGTTTTTGTTGAATATTTAATCTGAGAGGCTTTTTTTTCACAGATTGGCCGTTCTGCTGATTCTAAGATAGACTTTGTGGTAACTGACACAGCTCCTGGAAATAAACGTCGTGATTTGAACCCAGAAACGCAGAAAAGTACCATTTCCAGATATGCTTGTCGCATTGTCATTGATAGAGAACCACCGTACACTGCTAGGGTGTTTGCAGCTGGTTTTGATAAATCTAGCAATATATTTCTTGGAGTAAGTTCACAATTCTTCACTTTTTCAAAAGATACATCAGTAATTTTTTAAAAAATATTTATTTAAAAACAAAAATTGACCATTTTTTTTTAAAATTTACTCTAAAACTTAAATTCTACATACACTTCTTATATTAGGATGCTAAGAATACAAGATCATACAGAATTACCTGACTGTTTATCTTTATGAATGCAAGCTAAGAAAACTGTGTTGAAGAGTCATGTAATTTTTAACTCAAGGCCTATTGCCAAACCTCTTTATAAAATGTATTTGCAAACTAAAGAAAATGTTTCTTTTTCTCGGTTTTGATTTGTTCCATTTGGGCTTTGTATATTTTTGTTATTTCTTCCCAGAATATATTTAAATTGTGTTATGGCATTTAAGTTAAAAAGTTCCATGAAAAAAAGGAGACTTGCCTTTCTTTATTATTTTTCCTGATAGTTTTTACCATTAAGGCTTGACTTTGACTGAAAATGAAACATAATGACCTTAGATTTTTTTGAGTGAAGCCCACAAAAAATTGCTGCTTACCTGTTGATTTCAAAGTCCCCAAAATTATTCTTTTAAAAAACCCATATGATCTCCCCATCCTTATAGGGGATGCTTTGGCCCCGTGAATGCAAGTCTTTTATAATGTGCTGGATTTTGAATGAACTGCTTGCAAAGTGTAAATGCAGAGAAGTGTTTTTGTTGTTGTTGTTGTTGTTTTTTTTCCCAAGCTGTTACATTGTGATTTTTATCAAAAGGAAAAAGCTCCCAAGTGGCAAAATGAAGAAAATTTAATGGATGGTCTGACGACCAATGGCATTCTGCTCATGAATCCCAAGGGAGGTTCTTCTTGCCAGCCCACAATATGGCGTGAAATATCAGTATGTGGGAATGTGTATGGACTTCGTAGAACACGATCCACCACTGAGAAAGGGAAGACTGTAAGTTTCAGGTGTTTGCTGTACTAAATAACAGGTCTTTGTTTATTGTGATGATGGTATCAGTTTTGGCCAATCAGCATCAAAAGATTAAAAGACTGATGTGATGCTACCTAATTACATGTAGGTTACATGTGTACACCAGGCAGGAGTTTATTGCAGTTTCCATTGTACAAGGTGTCTGTAGTATTGTCACTTTATGACCCACCCATCTCCCCCCTCTTCAAAGACAGACTGTCATCTAATTTTTCCTCACAATATCACCTCTGAATTATACAATAAGGTCACAAGAATCAAAGGAAATGATCACCAACTTAAGAAGCTCTTGATTGTTAAACAAATTCTCCTTGTCATCACTTTAGTAAATGTATGGAGAACAGTATGGAGAATATGCATGCTGATCTCAGGGTGTATAGGGTTGATAACACTTATAATACTTGTTTAGGTTGAAGATGAGTCCAATGTTTTACTTGATGGATCATTGATTGATCTTTGTGGAGCTGTTTTGCTGTGGAGATCCGCTGAAGCTATAAAGGAAATGCCTGTATGTCATTCTATCATTTGTTTCACAATATTTCTGGACCTTGTATTCAATTTTCACAGCATAACTTCATTTAGGTAACACTTCTTAAAATTGGGGAAAAATTTGCCTTCATAGAGGTGTTGACATCCTTCAATCAAGTTAACAGATGATGGGTAGATAGCAACATTTTTTCAGCTGTAGCAAATTTTTTTTCCTTGGAGGTGTTCCCTGAATGTGATTGTTCCATCACTGAGGTATCACAATATTTACCTGTGGATATTTTGATCTCTGCATATTTCATTCATTTGGAGCCATCAATTAACATGAGCCTAGCTGGACTTAATAATAAGTTTTGAATCTAGGACTTGATTAGTACTCATTCCATATAATCTTTAACAAAGAAGTTCTTTGAAATAAAATTTCTCATAATTTTATATGTTTTATGACTACTCTATTTTGGAGCAGATTTTCTAAGGGGTTTCCACTCAGTACATGTAATTACAAACATAAACATTTATTTTGGAGGAAAACAATTAAACAACTGAAACTTATTTGTTTGTTAAAATCTGTAGACCCTGGAAACAATTGACAAAATGAGGGAATGCCTAAATGCCTCTCGCCCTCAGTGTCCTGTTGGTCTCACAACATTAAGATTTCCCAGTCAATCTGAGGTAAGATTGAAGTTTTTCCTTAGTTGGTTGTTATTAAATCTCCGTTGCAGCATTTTTCCAGTTTTAATTTATTTTTATTTATGCAATTTTTTGGGGGGGGGGGTGGGTGGGGTGGGTACTATGACATGCAACACTTACCCCAATCCTAAGGGGCTTACGGTGAGTATCTGTCAGTTCCAGAGGAAATGTATCATACTGATGAAAGGATGTAAAGAGTTAATGTGATGTCACAAGTAGTGAACAAATTTAAGTGAGGATTCAAACTGCGAGCTTAAAAATTAACCATCTTTCTCATTTCTTCTCTATTGGAGAAACCTTGTTCTTGCTGATCAGAGCAGTATGCCAGACTCTTGTTATGTACAAACAAATGTGTGGCCTCCCTTGCCGGTGAATTTCTTCATTCACTGTAGTGGTGAGCATCTGGCAGCAAAATAAAGGAATGAGTGGGGCTCAAAACCTCATGTGGAAATGACATGGCTCCTGTTGTTAAATGCAATTACTAGGTAACTCTGACCAGTATTATTTCCTTGGTTTCAGCCCTCTAGCAGTGTGATCAATGCACAGCCATATGTGTACCTCAAGTGTGGGCATGTACATGGTCTTCATTCATGGAATTCACCAGAGAGAAATCTTGCTGATAAAAGAACCTGTCCAGTTTGTTTACAGGTGAGAACATAGTACATCACTATGCTTTTGACTCTAAGAGGAGAAGAAGAACTAACTTCCACTACAAGACCAAAGAAATATTATTTTATGGAATTATGATGAAATTCAGAGGAGAATTCTGAAGGGTAAATTTAAGAACATTTTAATGCAGTTGACGTTTTACTTCCATGAGTTCACAAGTCAGAATTTCTCATTACAATATCAATACAGTATCAAGCACACAAGTGATGAGAATAAAGAAAAACATCAATTAAAGAATTATTGCTGGTAGTTGATCCTAACCAATTTCTCCAAACTGACTTTATAAGAATGGTATGGCATGGTACAGTAAGAAGTAACAACTACGAGATCTTGGGAGTGAAAGGGACTTATTGGGCTCTTTTGTTTAGTGCAGACTCCTGTGGAACATAGCACTATATTGCACCAGATCTCAAGAAGTTTTGTGGCAGTCATTTTTCACTCCTGAGGGCTTGTAGCAGTTGTTGCAAGGGATTCCCCTACCCCACCCTCAGACTCATGATTTTCATCCACTGATGTAGTCATTTTTAAGGGTGCCTGGAATACTGGCTCTCAGCTGGGTTTTGAGGATTTACCAACCTGGGGTGGAGGGGGGAAATATTCTATCTGGTGGCTGGCTGACCACTGGAAAACTCTTGAAACCAGGCATCTAACTTACATTTAAGCTTGCCAGTATTAGACAACTTAGATAATTTCCATTGCTTTATCAGGCCAGCTCTTATGTGCCACTAACTCTTGGAAAAGAACCGGCTTTCTATCAGGGAGAGCCTGCAGCTACACATGCTTTTGTGCCATGTGGACATGTTTGCTCTGAGGAAACAGTCAGGTAAGGCTTCCTGTCCTACTAGAATGAGTTACCTTAACATTTTCACACTCAAGATCAGTATCCCCTAGTTGATGTCTATTTTCATTCTCATCACCCTCTCTGCCTGAAAATGTGTTGATATTTTAGGGAGAAATTCTTTATTGGTCCTTTTCTGTTGCAGCTGAAAGAGTTAAATTTATCTTTCCTTGGTCAGACTTCCACCTTAAGACTTTTCCTAAGCTATTTGATTAAGAAAGTGGTTTAAAATCCAGTTCACAGCCTGTAAAGTCACAACATGTACAACAAAAATTTATCAATCACACTCATCAAGTTGATAAGGGAAGTTTTGGTTACAGAGTTCTTTCTTATACGAGACACCTTGTCAGCCAAAATATTGATGTAACCCTTATCCCTCAAAGAGCAACCGAAAGGATTTTCCCCTTGCAATGCCATTATATTCTAAAGCAGGGAAGAGGTGAGAAGAAAGACAAACATTGGCAAGGGGACTTTTGCTTGATTGACCACCAAATTCTCAGAGCTGAAATTGTGAGAAATGTATAACAGATGGGTAAAGAGTTGATATTTTGATCTAGGGGGTTAAAGAGGTCAGCAGATGCTTAGGAACTTTTAACTTTTCACAGATAACATCAGTGTATCCCGTTCATGAGGGAGAATTGATAGCAAAATGATGTTCTTTTTTCTTCTTTTGATGCAGGTTTTGGCAACAATTGCCCATTCCTCATGGATGTGATGCCTTTCAGGCCATCTGTCCTTTCTGCGCTCAGCCCCTGGAGGGTGAAGATGGCTTTGTCAAACTTATCTTCTCAACTGATGAATAACATTGTAAATAAAAGATCTCTAAAAAAAAAGTATAACAATAAATGGTGTACAGCCTCACTGTAGCATTTAGTCTCTATTGACACTAGCTTGCCTAAATTGATAACTGATTAATTTATTTATAAAAAAAATATAGCTGAAGATGTATCATTGTAATTATTATTATTATTATAACTTGTCAGCTGTCTCTTTTCTGTTTGGATGCAGCGATTATTTTACAAAGGAGTCATATTTTAAAAGCCACTTAATTAAATGTGTGATGAAGTTCTTCTACATCTATGCAATAAAAAGTGATTCTAGGTGAAGGTAGTTTACATCGATTTCCTTAGCCTGTGTCTGTGACATCTTTTATTGCTCTAACAGCTATTAAGACAGTAGTCAAACGTTTGAGCATGTATGAACGTTAAAATGAAAAAGAAGCAGCCTGCTGGCTGTTGGAACCAAGTTGTCTCATTGGAGTTACAAGCAACTACACAAGTTAGTAATTCATGGTGTCTTCTATAATGTGAGAAGCCTTAAAACGTGAAGGGAGTCTAGGAGAGAGTTGACTGTACTCAGACGTTTTGTATAAGTTTGACCTGACTTTGCTTCAGGCAGTTGAAGCGATTTGAAATTGAGTACAACTGCTCTTACTGCAATATTTCAGAACACCATTCGCGGAATAGGTTACTCCTAGCTGTAGGTGAAGCAAAGTTGTCCATCTAGTATTCTGCTATTCTGAGTGACTTGTCACTGTTCGCTCAGTGTGTCTGGGTGTTCTTCTCTGAAAAGTCTAACATGGATTTCAAGTGCATTTTTATATTGATATTCAATGCTTAATCACTATTATTGCTATTATCATCGTCATTATTATCCTTATGATCGTTAAACCCTTAAAGAACTCAATAACAAGTTGCTGTAAGCCAATGTAGTGTTCGAAGAAGCCTGGTAACCAATGTGTCAGGGCGCCTGTCGATAACGACATACTTAAAGACATGACTTTCTGTTTTCTTTTTCCCGGGTGATATTTGTTTCGCTGAATAATTAACATAGATTAAGCGTTTAATAATGCTTCAGATGAACTAAGGGAAGAACGAAGCGGTTATCAAATGGAATCAGAGGAGAACTGGAGTGAGTTCGTAAAAGGTATATGTTTGATGTTGTTTTGTGAAGTTCGCTGTGTACAATTTTCTTTTAACGATACACAGGTCTGGTAACGCGGATGAAACAACTTACAAGATCTCGCTTCCGAGCTAAATCACCTTTCCTGCATTTGAGAAACTTTCTGTCCTCTCTCTCTCTCTCTCTCTCTCTCTCTCTCTGCAAAGTAGAGTATTAATGGGAACTGTAGCCAAACTGTTGTGTCAGCTGTGCATTAGCTATGTGATTTACAGCCAGTGAACTCTATGTTTTGCAATTATGGGTTCATTATATATGACAATCATTCCGTGTACTACTAGGACACTACTAGACCAGTAATCTAGACAAGACACTTCACGAGGATGGCAAAGGATTTATTCGTGATGCGTGAGAAAACCCGAAATTAATATGTGCCGCATGTGGAACTTTTCCCTTTTAGGTTCTTGTTGTGTGAAATAATGTTGTAAGTACAAGCTTATGGTATCTAGTCTGGATTGGTGTTAAAAACACTTCTGAACATAGTTTAACTCCAAGCCATGGCTATTGTGAATACTGATAATTGTTTCATTTCCCATTTATACATCCACAGAACATCTGTTTGTTGGCACCATTCTTGATGGTGTGATTGTCCTGACCAAACGCGGTGACTCAATCTACTCATGTGGGAACCTCCAAGATCTGACTCAGGTAAAAGTTGCTATGTGTGGCCTGTTTACTCAAATTCTCCTTAGTGGTGACAATTTATTTATTTATTGGTCAATTTAAAGAAAATCCCTACAAACTAGTTGATAATTTTCTTAATTCTCAAAACCTCTCTTCAACAATTGAATGAACAGAACAAGTGTTCAAATGTCAAGCAAATGTCAGTCAACATCAAATGCCAGTCAACATCTAGCTGTGTACAGCATTTAAGCTTGGGGCTAATTATCATATTCCCCCTAGGAATTTAGAGCTTAAACCACAGTGGAAGGATTTAAATTCTGATTCTTTTTGTAAGTTAAAGGTTTGTAGGTATTTGTTTTAAGTTGGTTCTCAAGCCCTTTAGAAAACCAATACCAGCACTTGATGCTGATCTTTAAAAAATTTTTGATGAAAAGTTACTGGATTATCTTGGTTTTTTTTTTTTTTGCAGAAATATTATGCCCAGTTTCTTGTTATCTTTACGACAACATCTGAAGAACAAGGTATGTCCTGTTTGTATAATTTGAAGAATATTGAGTTTGGCTACAGGAAATTTCCTGGACTTGAATGTAGTAGCTTAAGGAGAATAGAAGAACAGGAGCCCAGGCAAATACAGCTGTATGGAGCTGAAAGAGTCAGGGTGAGGTGAAGGAGAGGTATTAATGGGGTGCAAGGGGTATGGGATGGGGTGTGGAGGGGGAGAATGTAAGATAGGAAGATGGAGAACTATTTTTTAATCATTTATCTGCAGTGTTTCCCTCTTAAGGGTTGGAGACCCGAGAGGTGGAAGCCAATTTTTATGTGTGTGTGGCCCAGTTTTATACTCAATGTTCTTGTACATAATTTAGATTAGCCAAACAGGAAATTTAAATTACAGGTTTGTGGGGGTGGGAGGGTGAGGTAGTCAACAAAGACATTTACCTGTAGGGAGGGGTATTTATATTTTTGCACAATTGCAGTATACTGGGAAACAGTGCCTCAAGGTGCTAAGGAAAAAGGAAAATTTGAAGCTGCCTTTTGTGGTTTAGTGGCTGTTTTCTGTTACTTGATTCCCCTCTTTGAACAGAAACAAATGTTTTTCTAAGATCCTTGAATCTTCTTTCATTTCCTTGCAGACTCTGCTGCATGCCAAAAGGGATTTATTCTGCAAACTGCAAATGATGATCAGGAGATTAAATACATCATCTACAGCAAGAATTTTTGTAGGTAATGTAATTATGGTATCCCAGCTGAGATGAGAGGGAAAAATACAAGTTATCAAATGAATACCCCTGAGTGTCTCTGATGTGATTTATTTTTCCCACTGATTCAACACAGCTTTATGTTATTAATAAGTTCTTCTCTGTTGTGTCATTTCAGTGTATATGCAATGTCACGTCATAACAGATCTGGAATCATAGTCTGCAGTCTACCTTATGGTGTATTGATTGCTACGTACTCATTTCCTTGCACCAGTGTGAAGGCAATAGAAATTGTGGAGAACACTTGTGAACAACTGAGAAGATGACACATCATGTTAAAATGTGCATTTGGTCTTCAGAGTGAACAAGCAAGAAATAATGGCAGAACCTGAATCTGGGATGTTGAAACCTGTTTCTGGGATCAATTTTACTCATTTAATTTATCATTATCATCATTATTGTCATTGTCAACAATGTTATCTTTGTTATTGTCATCAGCATTATCATTATCAGACTATGTGCATGTACTTTAGGTAACAGAAAAGTCAAGTCAATGAGAAACTGCTTATTTCTTCAAGGCGTTGACCTAACAGATGTTTTTCGGTCAATCCCATCATTTGCAGTCACTGATTACTGTCACAAGACATGAGCTACCTTCTCCAAAAGGACAAAGAAAATTAATTATTAGAAACCTCAGAAAATTAGGTATCAGTAGAAAACATTCTCCAAATTTAAAAAAAAATAAAAATATAAAACTATAAAAATATTATAGTAGTTTAACAATAAATTATAACAAAAAAAAAGCACTCCACCAACCTAAGATATCAAATCAGTCAAATTCTAAAAAGTTGAAGAGGCCTCAAAGAATTCATCTTGAACAGCTCTGAACTGCAATGAACCAACTAGTCAAAAGAAAGATATAAAACATAGATAATGGAATTAACTTTCTCTCATTGGACTATTCTTAAAAAGCAATTTAATTTGAGTCAGATCTTGTCATTCAGATTCTCATTCATGATAATTTTAATTCTCATTTGTGATAATTTTCTAATATATCAGCCTTCCTTACCCTTTGGCTGGAAGGATCTTATTGTTATGCTCCAGTCTCTATTATAATACCTTTTTAAAGTTTCCTTATAATCTGGGTAAATAAAATCAAGCAAATACCCTCTCAATTTCTCTTCTCATGATGTTTTTCTTGGATAGTGTACTGATGTGCAAGGCTCTAAGTTCCAGAAATAGTTAAATGTTTATATCCCTCTGAATTCAAAATGGTCAAGCACTAAGAGCTCTGAAATGGTACCAACAAGTCACATTATCATTTGTGGGAGTTTAAGGATGATGAAAGACACCTGTCTAAGCTGGACATTTGGCATCAGTCCTGATTGAGCTGAGGGTGGCAAAGGTTTTCTATGTGACTAAATTAATTTGTGACATGAATTTTACAGAAAGGAGAGCATAATTCATGAAATTATGAACCAGCATGAGGTGTGATTTACCACCTGAAATACAAACGACATGTGAATTGTTTCTTTCATATGAAAACCTGAAGATTTCCCTGAAACTAGTACACAAGAAAATAGATTTGAAGTTGTCCCCATTAAATATCATAAACTTGAATTTTTCTAAAAATTTGTGCATGAAACAGGATGAGGATGCCCCCCTGCCCTTTGCTACCCTCATAAAGATGGAAATATGTATCAGACATACCTTCAGCTTTGTAACCTCATTTTCAGCTTCTTCAGAATCAAGTGGAACCAGCTCTTTGAAAAACAAAACATGCAAGAAACAAACAAAACAAAAAAAAGAAACAAAATCTCATCAGAGAGCTATCTGTAACTCTGTGAGGGGGAGGGTTAAAAAACACTGCCTTATTTGGCCTATGGCTATGTGCTCTTCAGCAGAGATGTTTTTGGAATTTTCGCGGTAAATTGGTTTCAAAATATTTTCACGAATTATTGTGTGAAAAAATTCATGCGTCTCTAAATTCCCCACCTCTTCTCACCCCATCTCACTTCTCAAATGATCCCTCGTTTTTATCCTATCTACCAAGTGGTATGAGAGACTGAAATTCATCCCACGAGAGACCATTGCGTTACCTATATCTATTTACCAAGGATTATAATGCACAAGATTACTTGAACAAAGATGGAATGGAAGCCACATGAAATAAAAGGTTAGAGGACACTGTGTCAAGACAGCAAACCGTCCGAACCTTCGTACACATCGAGTGCGTGACGCGCGTGATCATTCAACCTGATCGCCTACCAGAAGATTGAAAAGCTTAGCTTCAAAATCAAAACATTGACTACTGTCATCTTTCGAAGGAAAACCGGCTAAATTTTACGTTAAGCTAAAATCGTTCGAATTATAGGAAAAAGCCCATCGCAATTTCGTTGATCGAGCACACGAGTACACACATACGTAACGCAAATTTTGATCTCTAATGTCCATAAACTTACCTGATAGGTCAAGTTGACTTCTTCAATACCTTTTCTCCTGCAAACATTTTGTTACAGGGTCACTAGCACAGTGCAACAACTGACCATTAATGCAAATTAAAAGCACAGCCTTCTGCAGTCTTAACTCTTCCAAAAAACCATTTGCGTTAACATTTTATGGGGTCCGAGCTGGGGTTTAGCAGGGGTGGGGTGAGTGGGAAAGGAGGAAGGCGGACAGGTGAGAGTGAAGGGCCTTCACCAAAAATAAATTGCCTTCCCTTTTATCAGAGAATATCTCTACTAACGGAAAGGCCCTTTTCTTTACAGTAATAGCTAGGTGGAAAAACAGCTCACTAAACAAAATCTAAAACTGTTGATGACACACCATTCTTTGCAAGTTGAAACTGTTATGTGATTGCATGTAGGAAATCTTTTCACTTGGTGGTACATGCTGCAGGAGAAAATTCAAATTTTGTTATGGCCTTCCTTTTCCCTTAAGACCAAGTCAGTTCTTGACAAAGATTTCCAGGGAAGGAGGAAAGGTGAAAATCTACCTCCTCTTACTAACTGTTCTCTTATCTTTCACCCGTTCTTCCATAACACAGCAGATTATTGTTCAACAAATGTTTTCATTTGTCTCCCACTTTCTGCCAGTTCTCTAGTTTTCCTCATGCCTTTTTTATTCTTCAATATCCCTCTGTCCAACCTCCCTCTTCCCTCCCCCTAAACCCTGCATCCGTAATGACATCATATAAAGGAAACAAACAGCTCACTTTTATTTGGTTCAAATAAAAAAAAAAAAAAACTAACATCAGCCATGAAAATTTGAGCAAAGCGTAAAATGAAATATAACATAAACTAAATGAAAGCTTGAAAAATAATTTTCATACAATTTTAACCACTGAATTACTAGTACATAACAAGCTCAGTGCTGCTACTGCTACATAACAAGCTCAGTGCTGCTACCAGTACATAACAAGCTCAGTGCTGCTACCAGTACATAACAAGCTCAGTGCTGCTACCAGTACATAACAAGCTCAGTGCTGCTACCAGTACATAACAAGCTCAGTGCTGCTACCAGTACATAACAAGCTCAGTGCTGCTACCAGTACATAACAAGCTCAGTGCTACTACCAGTACATAACAAGCTCAGTGCTGCTACCAGTACATAACAAGCTCAGTGCTGCTACCAGTACATAACAAGCTCAGTGCTGCTACTAGACGGAATCACTTCACTTTATCAAGAAGTAAGCCAAACATAATGTTTTTAAGCTGCTCCCATCATTCAAAGTCATCCTTCTAGAACGAACAGCTGGTTCAAACTGAAAGTAAGTGTTTGAGAAGAATAAGGGAATTATTGTCAGATAAATAAAATGGACAACTACATATTGTAGAGTCTATCAAACACCTTGTGGTCACCTTATCAGTGGGGGTGGAGGGGAAGGTGTAAAATCCTTACAACTCAGATAAATGCCATACTGTGACCATAGACAGAACAAGGAGAGATAGCATATAAGGGTATTTCTTTCAAATCTAAAAGTATATAATACCCCATAATATTTGACCCTTCTGATTTCCTGCATATTTGCCTAATAAATTACAGACTGAGATTTCTTTTGATCTCAGCTCCTCCCAATTGAATTTTCCATTTGAATTTCTTCTGGGGAGGCATAGATATCTTCTAAAGCTGCAATTTTTGAATTAAATCTCAAATATCAGTACATGAACACAGTACACCTTTACCTTGCAATGATCATGGTTAGTTAGCCTCTAGAGCAGCATCTATTGCTTGTATAATCTTATCCATTTTGCTGTCACTGTCTACATATCCATCACCATTCTGAGAGGAAAATTAACATCTCATAAATTTATTCACCATTTCTGTGTATCTGTTCAGTAATAGATCACAGATGATGCAAAAAGGGGTAAGAACAAACATGTGGCACAATTGGGGAGTGGCTGCATGTGTTGCGGACGTTCTACCACATATTGATGCCTTCTGTGATCTATTACTGTACAGACTGATGGCAATGTAGAATCTATTTGTTTTATATGATATAAAAGCAAAATGTTGTTGATGATGATGCCATGTATGTGTCTGTCCTCCAGTAGATCATATTCATATAAATTATGTTATATATTAAGCTGGAAAAAAAGGTACTTTGCTAGAAAGGATAATATTTTAGGGCTAATCCATATGTATTCAAAGCTGTTTCAGTTTCCACAATTCCACTTTTTCATAAAGTGATTTTAAAAAACGAAAATAAAACAGAGAACACACCATAATAGAAACTACATACTTGTCTAGAGTTATGAGTTATTCCTCTTTTACCAATACCGCCATCTGCACAATAAGGCTTGTTTGAAACTGTCAACCCATATGGCACTTCCATTTGCTAAAGGGGAAGGGGGGCATTTGTACCAGGGGTACTGGATTGCATAAAGCTGGTTCACATTCTAAACACACACTTCTGTTATATATACAGGGAATATGTGTACTTGACTAAAAAAAATTGAGTAAGTTAACTGTAATCTTAAGGGGTGTTTCCATAGAACTATCATACCTTTTTTGAATGAACAAGCTTATCATTCACTTCTACCTCTAAATAACCAGTAACAGTTTGTGTTGCAAATCCGTGCTGTAGAACAAATAGAAAAAAAAATGACCTTAACATGACAAAAACTGAAAAATGTTTATTGTGCAAAGGATGGGAAAAAATATATAGGTGTATCCATAAAAATTAACATATTAATTAAGGAACTTCTCTCATTACCAAAAGAATTCTGGTAATATACTTTTTCAGATGGGCAAAAAAAACAACCAAATTCTTCTCCTTTGAATGCAATAGAGGTTATTGCAAAATGTTGGAGTTTAATTAAAAAATATCCAGCGTACTTTATGTAACCTTCTCTTTTAATTTAAGATATAAAAAAATTTAGTAAGAGTTACAGCTATGGCATACATGTTACTAACCACTTTCACTTCTCTACCAGCAAATTTTTTGAGGATCGTCTGTTTGATCTTCTGATACTAAAAAAAAGTAAATAAATGTGGACAACATAACAGTAGTAATAACAATAAAAATTAACTATATTATTTATAATAATAATAATAATAATAATAACAATAATGCAGAAACTGCACACATTTCAATCAGATTATTGCACTTGTCATGTGCTTAGATTCTATTAAAATATTATCATACCAATTATTTTCAGTATAAGAGTCATACATTGTTTTTGATGGAAAATATGTTTGGATAATCTACATTGTTGTTATAAACAGAAAAGACCACCACAATTTCCAACCCTGATACCAGGATGGGGATGGGGGAGGGGGGGGGGAGATGGTGGGGGGGTTGGTGATTAAAGGGATAAAACTTGCTTAGTTAATGGACGCCTTGATCGTTCCTTCAGGGAAGCTAGAAATTTATGAAAACAAATCCAGTAGGCCAGAGTTCGCAGTTAGCAGCAAAAATAGAGGCAAAAGTTATGATTTAACCTATTTTTTTGATGACTTTGTACTGACTTCTACTTAAGCAACGAAAATTGCTTTAATTTCTAGCAGTCATTATAAGCTTACTGAGTTTTCGGTGTGCCATTCATACCTTAGGTTTGTACCCTCATCCTCCACTGCAATTGAACACAGGTAAAACTGTGAGTAAGATCCAACGCGCTCTACGATCTAAATTTCAGCTTACGAATGACATCAAAACTTTCGGAAGCAAGCACCATATACGGAAGCAAAACTGGAGCGACAGACACCCACATAGACTAAAAGTCCCAAGTCCTAAAAACATGCTTACCAATAAGTGACCATAACTCTCACCGTCATACTGCAGGAAGTAAGTTTAACCTGTTTCGAAACCCTAAAAGTTTGCTTCAACAATACTTCACCGATCGGTGCCCTTCATCTGCTGTCTATCCCCTCCGTCTCACCCCTGGAAGCTATCTTTCTCTCTCTACCCAGCCTCCCTCGGTTACAAAAACAGATATTTCTCCCCAGCAACCAAGATGATTGTCTTTTGCTTGTCGGACAACTGTAAACCAGTCTTAACATGATTTTGTATTTTGGACACTAGTGGCTGATTTTAGAATTTGGACACTAGTGGCTGATTTTAGAATTTGGACACTAGTGGCCGATTTTAGAATTTGGACACTAGTGGCTGATTTTAGAATTTGGACACTAGTGGCCGATTTTAGAATTTGGACACTAGTGGCCGATTTTAGAATTTGGACACTAGTGGCCGATTTTAGAATTTGGACACTAGTGGCCGATTTTAGAATTTGGACACTAGTGGCCGATTTTAGAATTTGGACACTAGTGGCCGATTTTAGAATTTGGACACTAGTGGCCGATTTTAGAATTTGGACACTAGTGGCCGATTTTGTATTTTGGACTCTAGTGGCCTATTTTAGAATTTGGACACTAGTGACCGATTTTGGATTTTGGACACTAGTGGCCGATTTCGATTTTGGACACTAGTGGCCGATTTTTGATTTTGGACCTTAGTGGCCGATTCTCGATTTTGGATCTTAGTGGCCGATTTTCGATTTAAGTAATCGATTTTATGTTTGGACCGTAAAGGCCGATTTTCGATTTTGGACCCTAAAGGCCGATTTTCGATTTTGGACACCAGTGGCCGATTTTTGATTTTGAACCCTAGTGACTGATTTTTGATTTTGGACACTAGAAGCCATTTTTTTAGTTTTGGACCGTAGTGGCAGATTTTTGATCGTGGATACTAGTGGCTGGTTTTAGATTTTGAACACTATTGGCTGGTTTTTTTTATTTTGGATACTAGTGGCCGGTTTTTTATTTTGGAGACTTGTGGCCGATTTTTTATTTTGGACACTAATAGGCGAATTTTGATTTTGGACCTTAGCGGCCGTTTCTGGATTTTGGTTTTGATTTTGCTGGTTTTTAAAGTGACAGTAGAGATTCTTGCGCGCTGATTGTCCAAGAACCATTGTCAGTTAAACAAATGATTTCATTTTACCTGTTCATTAATAGATCACATATGACGTCAAAATGTGGTAAGAACACACAACGCGCAGCAACCAGCCCCCAAAATTGGGGTTAGTTGAATACAGGCGCGAACAAGCCAGATCATTTAACCCTGGAAGATTTAAATATCACTCCGCTTCCCCCTCGAATCTCCTTCACTCCCTGTCATTTGTATATGTTCGCCTGATATCCAAGAAATGTTCAGAAATGAGAGAGCCTGACTTACAGAGTACCGCGATAGGCCCGAGATTTACATAGTAAATAAAAATTAAGAAAATTATACCTTTGAGAAAGACATATATATATATATATTTTTTTGTCACGTCACAAGCGGAATCCGAAGGTTTGTGGTTTGACTCGCCCTCATAGGGACTCAGAATTTTTTTCTTCATCCCACGCGACATGGCGAAAAAAACATCTTCCACTATTTCCTTACCGAGCTCAAAACCAACCAACCTTTTTTAATTCGTTTATACACAGACCTTGCTACTTTGGACACAACGACTTTTAACGAAGACAAATCACTCAAAATGTTGTTTTTATACAGAAGTTTATTACTTGAGAGTAATCATTATCCTCAGTGGTTATAATTACAAATGGTACTCCACAAAACATACTTAAATCATTTGAAGTTTATGCAAGGGCTGTTGTGTTTAATAATCGGAGCCACGATATAAAACGTATTATGATGTACAATAAAGAATATCATTAACCTTAAATAACATGAATTCTTCCTTCCTATCTACCTTCTCCTTTCGCTTCTTTTTAAACACTGTTTAGTGATATAACGAGATAACACCTTCTTGCCGATACGCTAGCCTGTTTCCAGTGTCTACTTGCAAGATTTTAAGAACTGAAACGGCGGGAGAAGGAACATGTTTGAAATTCTGAAAGTTCAAGTTTAAGGTTATTAATCATGCTTGTTAAATACCACGATGCTATAAGCAGTTTCAGTATAATACTTCCCACAAAACATATTTTCGAAGGTAAACTATTACATAGCGAACTCCTCGATCACAGTAATCCATTACGGATAGTTACCAACATCGTGCATGTCGAAAACATTTACTTAATTTTACCAAACTCACCTCGTCAGAGGATATAACGCTGACATAGCCCAGAAAACCCGTTATGCCTTGCAGTAGTGCATTATAATTTAAATAGACTTTTGAGGATTGAACCAACATAATTGATACTTTTATACTTAGTACTCCGCCTTTCAAGCGTTTCCTATCGAGTTCAGCTTTCATTTACAAAGATTCGGGTCCTTAATGTTATTTGCCCATTTCCGTGTAGAACACGATCCCATAACGTGCGCAAAAAAATACGCCGCTGGAAAAGCACGTGCACATCAGGTCTGCGAAGGATAGGTTGCTCTTAAGAGCATCATCTTGGAATGAGATTGAGTACGTGAACAAGACGGCGACTCGCGTTTATCTTGATAGATATCATTCTGTTTGCGTTTAGTCTCTGTCGTAGGAGAGGATAGGAGATAACCATTTTTCGACTTCCTCAACTGGCATTCCCTTTCGTTCCGCGTAATCTTTCACCTTAGTGAGAGAGAAAGAGAGGAAAACACGACGCAATTATTATTGGGAACTGTATCATAGGCACCGTCTGTGAAGGACACTTCAACGTTAACTTTCGTCTAGTTTGTCTACTTGAGCGTTTTTCCAAGGCACGATCCATTTTACCCAGCTTTAGCGTGAGTTTTCGTTTTGGAGCCTACCTCTGAGCAGATAGGCTGCATTGCAGGCGTCATCTTGGGGCGTGCGAAAGTTAAAAAGCTCGCGATCGTTTATTCGACCAGCCATGTTTAATTTAGAGCTAGAGTGGACGGTGGGGGAGGGGGTGGGGAAAGGCGCTTGGTTTTCATTGCTCTGTTATTTAACAAAGCATAACTTGTGTCCTACCTGGTCTTCGCAGATTTTTCCCACTGAGAAGTAAACAGCTTTAGGATGAGCGAAGAAAACTGCCGATACTGAAGCAGCGGGATCCATGGCCAGCGACTCTGTCAACTTGATTCCAGTTAATTTCTCACAGTTCATTAAATCCCACATGGTCTTTTTCTCTGTATGGTCCGGTTGACTTGGGTAACCCGGTGCCGGCCGAATTCCCTGGAGAAGTAAAGTAAAGAGGTTGCTATGCATTACTCACGTTGTCCAGTCTTCAAATTCAAGCATTGTCAACGCCGAGGAAATGTAATTTTAAAAAGTGACCAATATTTTCAAGGCTTAGGGACATACTCTATGGATATATCACCATTGGAACCATGCTCTTTTTCATTGTTAGGTCTATTTTCAAGAGAGAGACCTTAAAATTTTGATCGTTATTTTAGGGTCCAGTCTTCCAGCCATGAATGAAGGCGATCACCGTCAGCCATAGTTCAGAATCACACACCATGAACTTACCTGGTATTTGATTCGGTGTAAGTCCTTCGCGTCCAGAACTTCATCGCTACAGTAACCCCATAATTCCTTGCGCACACGTTCATGAAGTTCCTCTGCAAAGGCCTGGTACAAGGAAAAATACAAGAATATAGTACGGCTTGCATAATTCAACTCGTACATTGAAATAATTTAAGTAATTGATGATTAAGACCAAGGAAGAACTCGAAAGATAAAGGAAATCTACGATACAGACAGGTCGAAGGCCGGAAAGTAGTTCCTTCAATAAATACAACAGTTTAGATATTTCCGAAAGGATTTTAAACGTCGCTGGAATGGAGGAAACGTTACTCACTTCGGCTAGGCGGTCAGCAAGTGCCTTTACCATAATAACACTGTAATCGTCCAGATCCTCGTCAAATCTGAGAAGCAGATGATAAATATTACACTACGTTAAATTTCAAACGTAAGCTATTTCTTTATAACTGAGGGCGACATCGGCGTTCCGAAAGCAAACTTATGATGTTTAACTATCATTGATTCAACTTAGTGAGTTTATGAAAACGATAAAATGAACTCCAATTTGAAGAACTTTTTCGGCCCTATTTCTCAACATCAACATTGTAAAAAATACGGAAAAAATCGTCATAACAAGTTCAAATCCTCCTACTTCACTGCGCAAACGACTGAAAAAAAGAAACGCTTTACCTACTTTAAACCAGCCGACTTCAATGACAACAAGTCATGTACTATAACTTGGTTTCTATATAAAAACATTTAGAGATTCCATGCCCGTCAATTTGCTCCATTTGAACCCCTACGAGTGACTAGCATCTAACTTCCCTTTTCACCATCATTCCTGAGTCAAATACTAAGGGCACGAGAATAAAGGAATTGATCACCGACTAGAGAAACTCTTAATTTTTAAAACAAATTCTCCTGTCCAGCACCTTAAGAATTGTATAAAGAACAGTACTGAGAATAAGCATACTGATGTTAGGGTGTAAAGGGGTTTAATGCCGTTTGGCTACGTACTTTTTAGCCATCTCCTCGGCGCCCATAACAGATACAGCAAAGCAGCCGACGTAGTCCTTGATATTTGAGTCCAGCGGTGCTACAAAGTCAGACAGACAGTGGTATGGATCTTCTACACCATGCTCCTTTTCGGCCTAAAAATGAGACACAAGTCGTTTAGAAAGGAAATATGACGAACTTAAAATGTTTGCTTAGTGTAGGGAAAGGAGAGGTTTAAGTCTGCACACAAATAAAGTGCCTTAGCGCTCTGCTGGGGTAAATTCCGTTTTCATGAATGTGTAAAAGCAAAGTAAACTGTGAAGACACAGTGAAGACATAATGAAGACACAGTGAAGACACAGTGAAGACACAGTGAAGACACAGTGAACTGATGGTGGCAAGAGTCACGCGGAAATATTATCACAAGCGTAAAATTTGTATTTATTCTTGACTAGTATTTTCACGAAGCTAAGGAAGTTTCACAAGTTATCAGTCTGTGTTGAAAATCATTCACTTAGAGACTGGTCATAATTTATC